TGCTGAACCTGTACTGCAGGACTGTAAGGGGTATACTTTATATGAAAAGTAATTTAAAAAACAACCAGCCTTTTCTCTGATAGCAAACTTTTTTTAAGGTCTCTTCTTTTAAAAGCACCTTTCTATACCAGGCTTAGTTAATAATGAAAAAGAAACCTGGTGCTTCTAAGGTTAGGTTACTCATTTTCCACCATGTTCTTGTTAGAACGTAAAGTCGCTGCTGACAATGATACAGGGATTACTTGCTACTGATGATAACGTGATTACTCTCTAGCAGGAAGAATCCTCTGTTAGTTTATGGCTCCTTTACAGTCATTTAAGGTGTGCCAGGAGAGTGGAACATGGTCAGCATATCTTCATACTGTAGCATTTGAGGGCTGTGTATTCTCAGTTGGTCTTCACAGTCCGTGTGGTAGTTGCCCTCCGACATGCATCAGAGGAACCCACAGGATATTCTGAGGGATCTGGTGGCAGAATGTCCATGAAGAACAGGACAAGCTTAAGACTGAGAGAGCTTAAAGGCCACCTCTGGACCCTTTTACTTTTGACTCTCATCATTAATCTTCAAGTCTGACTGAAATTCATCAGTCAGTCCCACTCCACCTTATAGCAGTATTAAAGAGATTAACAGGGCAATAGTGATGTGCTATGCTTGTGGAAAGTAAATGCTCTGATTTAGGGGAACATGCCTGGCTCTTTTGAAATATATGAAAAGCAAAACAGTTCGTGTTTTGTGGAGGAATATGCACTTATCACTTTGTGAGGTAAATGCTTCCGTATTTGCAAAGCATTATAAACTTTCAAATGAACACTAGTTGGCCCCTTTTTGGTACCCTTTCTGACATAACCCTTACTCCTCTCCTTACTTTTTATTGAATTTATAATAATCACAGAATTAAGAAGTTAAAGAGAGTGTATCAGGATCTGGACTATTCTAAGAAAGCTGAATGAACTGGTAATCATGTACACAGAGCCAAGTGTTTTCTCTCTCATACAAATAAAAAGCAGAGTAACCAAGCGAGACAGAGCTTCAGCACAGGTGTAGTGGGAGTTGAAAAAGGGCAAGATATCAATGTCATAGTAATGAGGGAGCTACTATGTAATCTGGCAAGCTACCATGTTAAATAAGCATTACATTGAACATTATTTGCCTGTTTCATGTTAGTTCATTGCTCATTTTTTTTTTGACTGAGTTAAAAACCATGGGGCAACAAAGCCCCATCATCCAACCAACCGTATCCAATCCTAATTATAACTTTTCCATAATATACGTGCCAGCACCCTCTGGAGAGTGCACTTGGTCTGAACAATTTGGATCTTTGTTTTGCTTTTGACCCACCTAGGTGTACTAGGTGCCCTTGAGAGAAGTTGTCCAGCCAGAAGGGGGCATCTCATAAGTAATATTTTGCTTTTCTGTCAGGTTCTAGAGAAACGCTAGCAAATCTATGGAAACCAAATGAAAAAATAAAAAAAAAAGTGTTAAGGAGTATTTCTGTGTAGTAGAAAGTATTCTACTTTAAAGAGTTTTTCCTGTTTTCAGATGTGATTGATTGGTGAAATATGTGATGAGTTGATTTTCTCAAACATGAGGTCTTTTGTTTCGTCTTATTTTGAGTGAAAATGAATATGTCATTGCAAAGAGTAAATAGAAGAAAAAAATTCTTCTTAGGTGTGACAACACTGAAGAAGCAGCTCAGTAGGTAGAGCAAATGAATACACTCCTTTCTACTGGAGTAGAATATGTATATGTAAAATATGTATTCCTCCACATATCGTGCTTCATATAAATGCAAAAACATTCCTTTATTATTTCCTTTGCAGATATTTGTATGCTTTGGGACAGAAGGTTTGGAAGCGGTGGAAAAAACGCTACTTCGTTCTTGTTCAGGTTAGTAGTCTACCATGAAATTTCATTAAAAAGTAGTCTTGGAATATCAATTTTCTTACATGATTGCTGGAGCCATTAATAAGTCAGTATCTTCAGGCAGCATATGCAGCACTTCTCCAAGCTTCTTACAGCATGGAGACATCCAGGGTTGGGGGGGGGATTATTATTTATTTACATATGTGTTAAACAGAAATGTCATTGAGTTTTACATATATATAAATGAGTCCCTACAATGAGCAGTGTTTCAACTGAAACCTGGAAATTTCTGAACGTTTTGACCTTGAAACATTGCACTGACATCTTCCTAACAGCGTTCAATTTAAAATTAGTATTTCACAAAGTGGCTTGTATTACTGTTCTAGCTCAGCAAAGATTTCCTGCCTTTAAAATCAAAGCAACCATAGTTACTATTAAGAACTTTTTCATAATTTTTTTTTAATAACGCTATTTTTTGTTCTTCCTTGCAATATTAAATTGGGTAAAATTACGTAGTTGTTACAAAAGATCTAATGTAGCAACTGTTCTTGGCAACAAAAATGTGCTGGGCTGATATTTCATAACTTTTTATACAAACTAGAACAGTAAGTATTTTCACATGCTAGATAATGATGACATTAACTTGAGATTAATAGAATAGGAATAGAAAAGTCGATTTTGAGTGGTCAAAACTGAGAAACAAATTATTTTTGTGATTCTTCGGAAAAATCATTAATTCTGTTTGTTCTTGTCTTCAGATTGCAGTTACAAATTTGATGTTCTGAGTCAGTTTAGAGAACGCTATTCTTCTGTGTCCTTTTTTTATTTGACAGAAAACTGTTAAAGTGTGAGTTTCAAATGTCATACAAAGGCTGAAGCCTGTTGAGGCTTTTTTAAGAACAAAGGCTTCTAAAACTCCTTTACAGAAAGCCTCATTCCTTTACCACTCTGTCAGTCGCACTCACCTGGTCTCCTTGTACTCCTAAATGATGAAAATTACAAGGATGTGAAAAAAAAAAAATCCTGAGCAAGGTCTTTAATAAAGTAAAGTTAAAAGCTGAGTTAAAGAATAATTTGCATGTTATTCTTGCTAAACATGATGTCACTACAATGTTCTCACTGCCTTCAGTAGGATTTGGCTTGTGTATTGATAATCAGTGAGTAATGATTAGAAGGTTGGACAGGATCTTCTGGAAAGTCTACTGAATTATTTCAGTTCTGATTTTGCCAAGGTCCTCTGTGAAGAGATGAGGACTTCTTGTGACTTTATTAAGATCTGTAAAGTTTGGGAAGATCTCTATGTAAGATAGCTGTTAAGGCATGGATGTGAAGGGAAAATAAAGTTACAGGGGAAAAAAAAGAAAGGCTGGCTGCTCCCTTGTCCTTCATGCTGTTCTTTAACACTCGTACTTGAAAGACCTTACTCTCTTTCTCTAAGCCATAGGTGTCATCTGAGTTTTAAAGTTCACACCTAACAGGCACATCCTCTTTCTGTGCATGTGATATGGAGCCATCTGGGAGACCAGTTTATTCCAGCCAAGTTAATTTTAACTATCTTCTGCTTTCTATACTGAAATTGAAATGCTGGAGGAGAATATTACAGGAATTCTCCAACTGTGATGGGATTTAGACATCTATTTCATTTTAAAGCAGCTATCAACTCAATATGGCCGTATAAGAAATACCATATTAAATCAATATTTACTGTCCAGACAGCTCAGGCTCATTTATATAGTCCAGCCATGATACATACACTGACAATAAGGTGAACTCAATACGTATGAAATAAGCATCCAATAATGAATATTAGTCTGTTGTATTGATACATTATTGACATGTCATCAAGTCTTTCTGTATAGATTAGCTTTTAGCTTACATTAGTAAAATATTAAGGCCATGAAATTCAGTTCTAAGACAGAGGCTATCAATATGATTTACGCGTGCTTTGGAAATTTAAGTCAGGTGTGAAATTAGATGAATAATGTTGATTTTTCAGGAGTGTGATGTGAGTAGTGTGCACCTTCATTATTGCTACACATATTAGAAGTTGTTAGGGTTTCTGAAAGAACAGCTCAATGTTATCAGAAGGTTACAGACTCGGGAAATTTCAACCTCTTCTTTATATTCCCTTTTCTTCCTTTTACAATCCCGTCACTTCTCTGAAAGGTTTTTCATTTCAAACAGGAAAAAGACAGGGACATAACATGTAAAGTAAAAAGCCTCAGCTGGACATGCTGTGTTTTACTTCATTTACTGTCTGATAATATCTTCCTCCAGTAATCAGAATACAGATACACTTCTGTCATTTTCATTTCATCTGTTCTAATGTCTGAAAAGTCAGTCATTTGTTTCATGGACAATTTTTTTCTAAACATGCCAATCATGCTAATTTTTGCTGTTGAACTTAAGAGGAGGGCTGCCCAGTGGTGCCCTGTAGCAGGGACCAGAGTCAGCCTCCAGGTTTGCAGTAACAGTTCCTCCCAGCACGCTAGACAGGGGCTTTCTGCCCCATGGGGGCATCCTCTAGTGACACTGCTTTTAAGTCATGTCCACATTTCTGTGCCTATCTGCGTGTCATGCATGCACAGGTTGTTGATTTTCTACTTTGTCACAAAGTAGATAGATAGAACAGATGGTAGTTAGATGTTTGGACCTCTGAAATTCAGGTAAATGCAGTTGTAGGAATTCTGTCAAGAATTACTATTTAAGAAGGTGGTTTGATTCTGTTTTTGTCTGAGAGTACGGTACATGGTCCTGACTTTTGAATATCTATTAGTCCATGAAGTATTGATGTTAATTTGCTGAATTCCAAGGGAAAACTAGCTACAGCTCCATTAACTACTACCAATACACTTAAATCCAGTCATAGATTTATATTAAAAAATGTAATTTCAGATTGTGCTGGTGGTTCTCCCTATAATAACTGATACCATCCCCAGATAACCGTAAGGCAAAGGATTAAATGATTAAGATTTCAAGTGTAAACAAACAAGGCAAGTTCTATATTTCTTATTTTGTTGAGACTTTTTTCCCCAACAGAGTTTTCTGGAGTTTTTTCTATTTGTGTCTTTGATGGAAAGACTTCAAACTGTCTCATTTTCAACCAAAAGATGAAGTGTAAGCCTGATTGTGACATGAGTATCTTTTAATGAATCATTCCTTTGAAATAAGAGAATACATTTGAAATACATTTGAAAAAATAAAATCAATAGTATTATAGATCTGATCTTTGTCTTGTTATAGAGGTGAGGTTAAAAGTGACCCAGATCTTCCACAGGCTTATCTTCAAAAACATGCAGTGGCTGAAGAAATATGAACAAAAAATGGGCATCCTAAGCATCCAGAATTAGTGTCTGCAAGCTTCCTTTTTTATGGCTCAGTTTGTCTGCACAGTGTGGTTATATGGAGTTGTTGACATGAAGATGTGAGTGCTGTGGGTGATTGCCAGGTTATTTCATTCAACAAAATAGAGTAATTCGAAAAATGTTTTTAGTGTAGTGCCAGGTATCAAAAATTAAATCTGTAGATTCAGTTTACAAGAGAGGGAGCTCTCATGAAACACAATGCTAATTGCAGTGGACTTAGAGGTGTGTGACTAACCAATAGCTCCCTCCATGCTCGTGCATGAGGGCAGATACGACTCTTGGGAATATAAACAGGGAAATACCAAGCAGTAAGAGGTGATATTGCTGCTAGGCCTAGAGCAGAGGACATGATGTAGGGGCTGAGGGCTCCAAGGGAACCACCACTGCCAACTGTCCCTGCCCAGCTCCTCCGGGGCCTCCCCACTCTCTGCACAGCCCAGGACCCCATTTCAGCCTCATGGCTGTCATCCCCAGCTCCAGTGATGCCATGGCAGGGCTGGTCTCTAGCTCCCCACAGCCCTTCCCTGCCCAGCCATGGGCCCCACCGAGCTGAGCCCACCGGCAGGTCCACATCCCAGCCTGGCCTTCTCCTCTGCCCATGGAGGTGCCCAGTGCCTGGGGCTGGGGCTGCCCCAGTGTCCTCGGCTGCCCTGCTTCTGGCTGGGCCCTCGCTGTGAGGGATAGCTTAAAATCTTTACACCAAAGTACAGTAATTTTCTAAAACACATACTATAAATGAAATTAAAACTATGGGTTCAGTCTGCAAACAGTGAGGTGAAATTTGGTTGCGTGTGTTGTGCTGGAGGACAGGCTGGCTGGTTCTAATAGTCCCTTCTAGCCTGAAAACTTGAATTTCTGAAAGTGATGGGTAGGATTGTTTTCTGTGTTTATTTTCATTTCTGTCAAAATTTTACTTCAAAAAGGATCATTCCTGAAGTTGTAGGCAGAGCGATAAATGTAGGTAACAGCTGAGTAGTCAGCAACTGAGATAAAAACAGTCCCATTGTCTGTCAGACAAGCTCCTTGCCTATCCTTAGATCCTTGTATAATTTTACAGATCTAAGAAATTGTGTTATAGTTCAAAACAAGTCAAAACAACTCAAGGTATCCTACAGTCCTAGAAGATGAGCGTTTCAGAGGCCAAGTTTCAAGTATTCATGGATTCACAAGCTGTTTCTTCTGGTCACCTTCTATACTGTTTCCAGCTCTTCATGTAAGACTAGGAACATCTGTTTTGTTTCAGTGATTGCTTTTCCTTTTCCAGCTGTTACATTTCTTTCTTTATCTTTCCAGTCACTTTTTCCTTAGCTCTCTTTATTGCTTCCTATTCTATCCAGGAATCTTAAACCACATGGTGACAGATTCTCTTCTTATTGCTTTATTATTTTTTAATAATTGTGCTTGATGAGAAGTAACTGATGTTGTTCATGCCAGCTGCAAGCTGCTTGACCTACACAGTACTGTATCCAGTGAGTCAAGCAACCTGGAGATGGGTGCGAACACAGGTGCAATAGATGCAGAAATAAGACTATAAAATCAAAGTAAAGATTCTGGTACTTACCATCTTTGACTAGGATTGGCCAGATTAAGTATTCATCTTTCCAACTGCATGATAATTGTGGTACTCCTGCAAAAGTACTTTTATATATAGAAGTCCTTATTTTTCAGCTTTTGGAATACTGGACTTTATTCTTACACAGTAGACTGAGCAGTTTAATCAGTACCACAGTACCAAGTATTTTCCCTACCAGAACCTAGTTTATTTCCTTTCAATTTTTCATAAAGCAACAGCCCAAAATACATTCTGTTTCAGAAGACTGCAAATAAATGTGTTTATGGCTTTTTTTCCCTATTGCTTTTGACAGCAAGGGGAAAGAACACCAAGTTTTACACCATAAGTATTTCTGGAAAAAAAATGCGGTTTATTTCTTCAGCACAAATGAAAGCTAATTTAAACAATCGTGCATGTCTTATACAATTCTGTAATGGAATTCAACTATTAAGAAATCCTTTCTTATTCAGGTTAGCCAATATACATTTGCAATGTGCAGTTACAGAGAAAAGAAATCTGAGCCTCAGGAACTGATGCAACTGGAAGGATACACTGTGGATTATACAGCTCCTCACACAGGTACTTTTCATGTTTTTGAAGTATGATAAGTTTGTCTAAAACAGCTTATTCAGTTTGCTCATTTTGATCTAGCAGCAAAAAACCCTATAAAGTAAGAAGGTTCTTTGACAATTAGTCCACTAGGATTTTCTGGTGTGAAAAATCATGCTCTTAGAAAGAAGCTTGTTGTAAGAAGAATGAACAATAAACTTACACGAAGGTTGCTTGAAACATTGTAAGATCACATATGACACAAGGGAAAAAATATAAACTCTGGCCAGTCTTTCCCTTTTCTCCCTATTTTTTATGATGGAGCCATGTGGCAGTGTACTGTGAGGTATATTCATAAATGATTCAGAAAAGATGGATGATGACGCTGCTTGCTAAAGACAAACTGCTCAGAGTTATCAAAAATAAATTTGAAAAGATCAGAAAAATCTGCACAATTTAGTATTAAAATGGCAGAGAGAAATCAAAGTTATACATGTAGAGCATAACGATTCTACTCTACTTACGCAGTGTAGGGTTATGAATATAAGAGACTTCTAAGATACTGAAGACTGATCTTTGGAAACGTTAGCTCGATGTTTAGAATAATTGAGAAGGCAAACAAAGCTCAGAATGTGTTTTAAAAGCCAAAATAATGTTGTCATAAAAAATCCCTAGTGCAGCCATGTTGACTGTTGTGTGCTGTTCTGCTTATGCACTCTGAGAACAAAATACTGGAATGAAAAAAAGGGACCTAGGAAGGAGCAGCTACACACTGATAAGAGGTGTGGAGCTGCCACTGTTCAAGAAGAGATAGAGTTGGCAGGGAGTTCCAGCTAAGAAAATGATGCCGAGAAGGAAGATATGTTATAGAAATGCAAAATAGCATATGTCATGGAGAAGATGAATAAGAAATAAATTGGAATCTAATTGGAAATGGAATTACAGAAATATTTTCTCCTGTGACTTCTGTATTTATTCTACTGATGTATTATTTCCATGTATTATCATTTGATAATTTTATCATAATTCTATGTCATTAAATACCTATAAAATATTTTAAACCATACACACACAAACACAGGGGAAAATTAATAATGTAATAAACATTGATGGTGATTTAGAAATAATTTGTATTTATTAAGGTTACCTTTCCATTTCCTGCTCCAGGTCTTCAGGGTGGTCGAATGTTTTTCAATGCTGTTAAAGAAGGTGATACTGTGATATTTGCCAGTGATGATGAGCAGGATCGAATACTCTGGGTTCAAGCCATGTACAGAGCCACGGGTCAATCATATAAGCCTATTCCTGCAAGTCAAGCTCAGAAGATGAATCCTAAAGGAGGAAATGTCAACACAGAAATATCCCCACTTTGTAAGCTGGCTCTCTTTTTCTTTTGTGGCTTTGGTTTTAGTTGGTAAAATATGTAGCAGCTCCTTCAATGAAGTTTAATTAAGCAGAACTCATTCACTAGGGAATGTGCCTAGCAGTTTGTTGTTAGCCAGAAGCTCCTTAGCTCAGATTATTATTACCAGTGAGGGAAATCCTGACTTGCAGGTCATTATTTTTATTATAATCCATGAAAATACAGCAATTAGCTTCATATGCATTACAGTTGACCCACATATTACCATGGAGACGGTGCTTGGTTTACATTACAGTGGCTGGCTACTGAAAAATACAGTGTTAAATAGAAAAGTATCAATCTATTTTCAGACTTTTATAGATTTAGGCTACCTTTATCATACATTGTATATATTAGTTATATAAAAATTGTTTTACAGACAGTACATTGTGAGCCAAAAGACACTAGTTGGTGCTTGATTTTTACACCCCTCAGTGTAATATTAAACTAGACATAAAATAATTTGCAAAAACTAAAAACCTGGTTTAAGTTTTCTTCAACTTTCTTTGAGGAAAATACTGTTTTGGAGAAAATCAAGGTAGTATATATTGACCATATCTTGAAAATTTCATATAATCTCTTTGAAAGTATTCTGTCACGTAGATATCCTGACATAAGAAACATACATGATTTATTATTGTTCTGGAGACTGAGTGCGATCCAATAATTCTTCATTATCATATATCTGTATATGTAGAGTGATAGAGGGGAGATATATGGTTTAGAATCTACTTGGTTTAATGTCTGAAGTCTGTAGTGGGTTGAATTAAGACCATTCTCCTCCATCAGTCCTGCTATGTTTCAATCTCATGGCCTTCCATTCACCTTGTAATCTTTTATCAATTTGCTATTAGAAGACAGTAAAATGTGTTTGTTAAACTCAGTATTGGTTATCTAAAATCCTGACTGGGATATCAAGAACATTGAAAAAAAAAACCACAAAAGCACTGACATCTGTTGAATTTTTAATCATCTGAAACGATTTGGAAGAATGAAATAACCATTCATCATGGAGGGTGTTCAGGTAAGGTGTTTTGTAGGATGTAACACTACAAAAGCAAAGGTGAGGCAATGGCAAAGGGGTGCTTCTGCTCACCTCCTCCCGGTTACCTGGGTCTGGGCTGAGTACTGGGTGTTCACTGTGTTCCCCTTCTAATGCTTTTAATTTGTGTGCCTCAGTTGTTAGAAAGTACCAAGACGTAAATGTAGTCAGTAGAAGCCAAGGAATTGCTGCTTTTCTTGGACACAGGGTTTACATGAAAGTAACCAGAAAACACTGACCACAGTGCAGGGAAGGCTATGGAAAGCAAAAGGTATAAAGAACAATTGCAAGTTTGGATGTACTGAAATTATGTTTTCCGAGATAAAATTGCTGATAGTGATAAGGAATTAAAAAAACACAACTGACACATCTTCATATTATCTTAGCCAGTTAGGGTGACTACAGTTTTTAGGTGGAGAGCATAAGAAAAACGAGCTTTATTTTAGAGACAGATCAAGGGAAGCTCAAATGCCTCAAAATACCATGTATTTTTCTGTCATGTTTACGTATCAACTTGCACAAACTGATAGGACTAAATCGTAAATAATTCAAAAATCCATGGCTAAATTATTACTTGCCCTTGGTTTGAATACATTTTAATGTTTGTATTTTGTAATTAAATTCATAGAATTTGTGTCAGAGGAACTTGTGAAATTTAATTTAATGTGAGGTTTAGTCTTAAAAGAATCAATGTTTGACTGATTTCTGTAATAACCTCCAGTTCTACCTACATGAGGAAGATTTTATTATTCTGTCTTACATTTGAGGTAGAAATAGGTGTAGAATCATAGAATCAACTAGTTTGGAAAAGACCTTTAAGATCATCAAGTCCAACCATTACTCAAGGACTGCCAAGACCACCACTAAACCATATCACTGACAGCCTCATTTAATCAATCGTATTTTAAGAAACTGCAAGAACTAGGGTTTATAGATAAAACCTTAAATAACTTTATAAGACTCCTGCTTCATTTACACCCACTGTGCTGATTTTCTTGGGGATAGTTTTACTCCTAAGAAGAATCTATACCTGATGTTTCGTCAGACTTAAATGTGTTCAGTTTCCTAAGAAGTCAATTTTGTTTCCCCCTAGAAAAATGTTTGCATTAAGAGTATTTTGTTTTTAATCAAGGTATAAAAGCAAGTACTTGAGAGCTAGTGTATAAAGTGAAATCCATTTCCTTCGAGGTTTTTTCTTCTCTATTATATACATTTTTAGTATTAGGAAATACAGTCATGACCAGAGAATTTATAAGCTACTTTCTTATGTATCTTATTTTTCAGTTAATTTATCATGTAAGCATTTCCAGCCAATATAAGGTCACATTGTTTTAGTTTTTAAAGGATACCATATGACACCCCTCCACATACAGAAAGCAGAAAACCAACTAGGCCTTTGCAAAACAAATGTTATTTAATAATAGTCAAGCCCTGAAAGACTGTTGCTATCTTCCTCATCCTCTAGGAAGATCAGCAATGCAACTGATTCATCCCGATGAACTATACAAAAAGAACTTTCAATAACTTGAAAAAAATTAAATATCTTTAAACTGCTGGATGTAGAAAAGATCAAGTTAATGAAACACGTTTCGACATTTTATATATTGTGTTTAGAAAATATCTTCTGTAGTCCTGAAATTCTCTTGTTATTAAAAGCAAGTGAAAGTTGTCCTTAAAGAAATGAAAACATCAGACGATGATTAGTATACCACATACCTAGCTGTATTAAGCTGTATTAATTCTTTGCTAGCAATGTATACTAAGACTTCCACTTTTCATTGCCCTGTGGAAAAAATTCTACCTTCCAAAGTTAATGTTTCATTATTAGCTGAAAATGAAAACTTGTCAAATGCAAGTATTTCATTAAATATTTAACATTTCTAATCAAGTGATATGTATAAATGACAATAAATGATACTTTGTTTTTGCCACCTCTTCTGTTTCCTATATTCTGAAGTCCAAAACTCTAAGGGTTTTTGTAAGCCCTGGTCAAATTATTTCTATGATCCATTAATTCCTTTCGTATAAAAGAAAGGAGTAAGTAAAGAAGGAGTAGGAGTCTCCTTTTGTATACCAAAGGCTGTATTTTTTGCTGTTAATGGTGCCTTGTTCCACATAAGATATTTCCTTGTACAAAAGAGCGCTTAAAATGACAGGAACAAAATCCAGCCACCTCAGAGCTGGATCAAAACAAACACATCAGGAACTCCTGAAAATAAACTATACATGTGATTATAATAGGACAGCTAGGGTCTGACTGATATTTACAGCAATTATCACAAATGCAGAAAATGGAAATGTTGCTCTTGCGTGTGCACAGCAGCAGCACTCCAAAGGCCAACCTACAGATCTCGTAACTGATCTGAATGTGCCATCTCTTCCTGATGATGCTGTATAGCAGTTTAGGATTATTCATGTAGGTCATTTAGTAGAAACTTGATATTCTGTATTACCAGTGAAGCACATTTAAGTGTGGCAGTGGAATCAAACTACTATCGTATCTGTCCAACTTCTAAAATGAATACTAGCCAGCTCCTTCATTTCTAAGTAAAGCAACTTGTTACTGCACTTCTGTAGTATTAGGTGGCTCCAGAACAAAAGTGAAAAGAGGCTTATGTCAGCAATGATCAAGATAAAGAGACTGCTTTTCAGTTCCACTATTCTGAATAAGCATGCTATAATGCAAAGGACTAAATATTTAAGGATGCATGGTAATAGAAAGGCCAGAAGTTTCCCAAGGACATGAACTCACCAATTAAAATTATGAGTCACATAAAGGTGCAGGAGGCGATCCCTTTCTTAATAAGGAATGTATTAGGAGATCTATCCATACAGTTAGAAAGACTGCTGAAGAGACAAACACTGTTAATAATTCGGTCATAACAAAGGAGTAACAGCAGCACATGAGGGAATTGTCACGTCTTAATGAAGGAATACAAAGCCAAATGTCATTCTGATCCTACATCACCATGAGTTCAGAGATGGTCTCTTTGTGAAAATATTTGCAGAGAAGAAAGGAGAGAGACAGATACTGGAAAACTGAGTTAGGTGAGGAATCATTTGATCTGAGATGTGTAGTTTTCCTCATCTCTCTTTTGGAATTATGTCAGTATGAAAACAGCTCACAAAAGGAAAATAATTGGAGATTTTTCAGAGACGAATTATAACAGTTGTCATAAAAATGCTATTTAGAGCCCATGTGCAAAATATCAAATCCTATTTCTTAAGTAGCAAAGGGAGTCAAATACTTAGGCCGTACACTGGTATCACAAGGCATCAATCCAACAACAGCAAAGTTGGAAGACATTTCCAAATGAGACATTCATCTGTATAAAAGAGCATCACAAAGGAAGCTTGTATGGACATTTAAATCATCCAAGTGGAGCAGACAATGTTGTGTAATCAGGAAGAAAGTAAAGGCAATTTGCCAAATGAAGAGATGCTTTGGTATTAGTCATGAAAATATAACTAACATTTTCAGTCTATTTGGATATACTGACAATAAGTGCTGTAAAATTTCTCTACCTATCATAATTTGATGATATGGGAATAAAGAATTTCATATTTCTTTTAAATGTTTTTGTTGTTTGAATCACTCAGTCTTTTTACTGACTGCATCAGAGACTGTGAGTAAACCAGAATATGATTAATATTAAGGTCCTGGTGTCATAATACATACACACAAGAAATACCGCTGCTTAGGGGCAGTGGTATTGCATGAGCAGTGCCTTATGGTGGCATTGCTCAGTTTTGGATTAACTGGTAGTGTTCTTGTAAAGCAGTTCTTTCATGATAGCTCTGGAGATGCTTGTATCTGTGTGTTCGGTTAATCAAACCTTTTAGAAACAAAGAGAAACTGAAGATATTTCTTCATTTGACATAGTTTTCTCAGCAGGTATGGCAGCTTTATAACTGTTATACAGTTTGTCACGTGGAAGAGTGGAATAGCACCGCCCTTCCCGTATGTTCTCTCCCATGCTACTCAGAATCATGCAAAATCTAAATAGTATCCTCTTCAAATCTTTCCTTTGTCAAAATACTGGCAGTCCATCAGCATGCTGTCCCCAGCCTGATGGTTGGGCCATATGGGCCAGCTGCTTCCTCTATTCTGCCACTTTCTCTCCACCTGTTATTTTATTGTCTGATATTTAAACAATAAGGTTCTGGGGGCATAGATTGTCTCTTTGGCCTGTGTTTCTAAGCATGTAGCACTTCGGAGTCCTGGTCAATGATCAGGAGTCAAAATGTTCCCAATGTAAGCTGTCACTATCCGTATGGAGTGGTACTTGAAGGAATGGAATTCATGTCTTGCCACTGTCTTTTGTGAAGGGCATGCGCACCTTCATCTTTATCCAACCAGTTCCAGCCCAGTGTGTATAAGTAGTCATAGTTCTTACCCTATTACTTCTTGTCTTTAAATCTTTTTAATCCCTGCAATACTAGATTTCTTGTCTGTACCTGTTCATCTTTCCTAACTGCCTAAGTTAGTTTAAGTTAGTTTAAATTGCTTCCACAATGCTTAAACTCTAGCAGGGATGTCACTGAGAGCCACAAAAGGGAGGAGGTCACCACTTTGCAAGGGTAGTTCCTATAGTTCACTCTAGCAGAGAATAAATGCTACAGAAAATTTGCATTTGCTTCTGGGCTGGGACAGGGCAGAGATGATGCTTAGTGATTTGGTTATCACTAGGAACCATGTGAGCATGTGCCATGAACATGGAACTCTCAGGAGTCTTAGTTCACTAAACTCTACTGAGTCACTGAGGATTGGATGATGTTTATCGCCTTTGCAGCTGGACTTAAAATTGGAAGTTTCTTGCAAAGATGGCAAAAGGCATATTCAGGATGCTATTCTGCCAAAATAAATATCTTTGTCTAAAAGAACACCCAAATTGCTAAAACTCCTGCAATAGCTTTTGTAAGTTTTTACTATGGTTTTTAAATACATATATTTGTCCTACATTGATCCAAAAAAATTATAAGTTTTGGCCAACAGTTTCCAAAAGATGAAATAAATCAAGTTTGAGTTAGAGGCAACTTGAAAACAAGAGAACAAATTCCACAAAGGGAAGAAAATTAGTTGTGAAGAAGCAGAAGAATTACTGCTTCAGGGTTCTCGCCAAATATCTTCCCAATATTACCAAAGATTGAGAAAGTGTAGAGAATAAAATGGAATTGTATTTATTCTTAACTCTATATCACAATATAGCACACTTCATGTCTTTTGCATTTGCATGTAGCTTGAACAGGACATCTAAAGCTCATTTATGTAGGAATTTGAAAAATACAATCACTGGAAATTTTTTAAAGTAGTTATAAAATAATTTTTAAATCACAGTCATATAAAATCTATGAATTCCTCTTAATCTTTGATCAAGTTCTTACTTTAAAAAAATAAATTCCATTTTGTTTCAAAAAGATTTACCAGTTATCTTGCATGTATATTATAACAGTAAAATAAATGCAACGTATTACCCTACATCTATTTTTCTATTATTTCCTGCTTGCTTACAGCTGACAAAGGTAAGTTTTTAGTTGTTTTTCTGTTGCCAAAATATATTTGATAACAGATCTTCTGTTTCTATTGGACAATGTTATTTGTACTGTTTGATTCTCTTAAAAAGATGATCATCAGTCATGGATCTTTCTGTAGAATTAAATCTAGCAAGTATTTATGTTTTTAAATAAATATTTTTGCTTATCTTGCCCAAATTATGTAATAGAAGATTCTGCTTTCACAAGCTGAATTGTATTCAATAGGTCACCTTACACATTCTGATCATCTAGATGACATTATTAAAATGCTGAATCTGTTTCATTTGCGTCCAGTTTCCTGATTTCAAAATACTTGTCAGTACTTACACAGATTTTCTTTTAAAAAAGGGGAATCTTTTATAGTTTTGTGGTTAACCAGAGAAAAAATCAAGCCAGTTAAGAAAGATTCAGCTGTGTATGATTTGTAATTTGTACGAGACCAATGACAGAAAGAAATATTAGTCTTTTTTCTTTTCTGAACCTGTCTGATTGTAAATAATGGCTAGACAAATCAGATATTCATATAAAAAGGAAAACTTACAAGAGATATAGAACCCAGCCACACATTAAACATACGAGGTTTGGAAAACTTTCGTCTGTGTGTGGATCATTTTGGAAACAACAGATAACTTCACATAGTAGTTTAGTACTTTTAGTAATATAGTTGTGTTCATGTCAGTTGTCTATCTTTGAATTCATGCATTTAAATACATTTAAATTGCACTAATTAAAAGAGCATTTCATGTACCTATGTTGAAAATATGAGCTAAGTTTGTCATTAATGATAGGCTAGTCTAATGCTTATGGAAATATTGTTCATCTGTGTAATCACATATGCTACTGCTCCTTAAACCATTAAAAATATATGCTATTGTTTCTCTGGGATGATGGTCTCATACCTTACACCATCGATGTATTGTCATACTGTTTATTTGCTGCATCCACCTTGGTGAAATCTGTCACATGGATGTGACTCTTGCTTTGACAATGCAAAGCCAAGTGATATGAATTAGTTTCTGCATCTTTCCAGGATGTGATGCTGCAGATCCTTCAGCTTGAATTAAATAATTCTCCCATCCACAAATACAGCTGAAAGTTGGACTTGACATGGATCAATATGATCTGGGGCTAAATTTCTAAATGTGACTGATTATGTTAGCATCATGCCCACAGATCAATATTGAGTTTTATTATGATCCTGACTCTATAATTGGGTTTAATCAATAAACTTTTGTCTCCTTTTCTTTAGAAATTTTAGGTTTGTACTATGCAGGTTTTCAAAATTGCATTTAGGATACACTTAGATCCATACTTTTCTGGTAATGAATATAAAAAGACATAGGTTTGAATTTAAAGGAACAAAGAGCTAAGACCCTATTGAAAGGGAAGTCAATTTTTAAGTTGATAGGACTGTTCACCCCAGTACAGTCTATAGAATCCAAGACAGCTAATGTGCTAATACATAACTAGTCCTTTTGGGCACTGTAAGGCTTTTTCTGTCCATACTTGCTAGATAATTCACATTGAGGACTTTGACAAAACATAGCATTAATGAAAGCAATCACTAGAGATTCTCTTTTGATAAACCCGCGGGGTTTAAAGGCGTTGAAAGATGCAATCTGTGAAGAACAATAAATTTGGGCCTTTGATTGAAGTGCCATTTGGGATGGTATGTTTTCTCAATGTATTTACACAAAAATGCTGCTCCCTTTTTCACTACTCTTTGCTGGAAGGTTGAAGGAGCTTTTTGCCATTACTACATTACAAAAAGAAGGCTGGAAATGACCTAGCTCAAGCCAGTGTGTTCATTTCTGCTCCAGTTTGCCATTTGAGAAGTAGGCTTCAAGCCATGATGAATATTTCTATGCGTGGCACTTTGATCTGCAGTAAAGATGCTCTTTCTTATCTGAAGAAATGAGTGCATAAACCTTTTCTGTTTTGGCTTGGTGTTTTGTTGTTTCTTGGGGTTTTTTTTGCAATGGAGGGAGGGATATTTATTTGCTTATTTTGCTAAAATTAGAAAGAGAGCCATGCAAAACCAGGAAATTACAGAACACATTTTTTTTTGTACTCATGTTGTTTTGTAAATTGTAACATTTGAAGATCATGCTTTAAGGATTATTTTAATATACTATGTTGTATTTTCCAGTAGCCTTTTTAAATATTGTTTAATCTGTCAGTGGGTACCAACCATTTTTTTCAGTGTTACACTCTACAGATTGGTATGATAGAAAAGTAACTCAGTAATATTATTTCCAAATTAAAACCCAAGATTCTTTAATGTCAGCTGCATCTACTTATGTGACTTACATTCTTTGAGATACTTTCAAGGAAGTTTGTATATTGAGACATATGCCATGCTTACACTTGTGCCTGTAAATCAGCACACACATTCAGATGTATTGTTCTGCACAATTTTCTTTTGTATGAACAGATGCAGACCGTGGCCAGAAACATGGCATGGATGAGTTTATTTCTGCTAATCCCTGCAAATTTGACCATGCTTCCCTCTTTAGACTGCTTCAGAGGCAGACCTTGGATCACAGATTGAATGACTCCTATTCTTGTTTGGTGAGTACTGTCTGGAAGGCAGATATAAAGAAGTGAGAAATAGTTGTTACAAAGTAGTCCTTTCTTACTAGTTCACTCAATAGCTGCAGTTGTAGTTGGAATAAAGGGTCCAATCGATTGGTTTCAAATTTGAAAATTATACACTTGCAAGCTGCTGCTGTGCCACTCAATAGAAAGCAAAGAGACCCACACTGTCTCTGATTTTATCAGCTGAAATTTATCATGTCCTATGTGGAGGTTTGAGTAAAAACAGAAGGTTTTCATAATAGTAGGAGCTCCTGTGGTAGGATTTACTGACACCTGTACAGGCATTTTAAGGTATAAATGTAGTCGCTTCATGTCAGGCATTTTCACCTATCTTGTCATTCTTCATTCCACTGTGGTGTGAACAAGGAAAAGCACCAAAAGAAGGGAAGCAGAACCACAGGCAGTAGAGATATATGGGCATATATGTATTATCTGAATTGCAAGTAACAAATGGGAGTAAAATTATTTAAAAAAAAAAGTAAAAAATTATCTCTATCAAAATAACAGTTTTTCACACTCAAAGACAGCTATAAAAGCTAAGATACTGGCATAACATGCTTCTGTATTTGTGACTGCATTTCAGTTTCGTACGCAACACTTTGTAGTCTGTGCTTTGTGGCCTGGGAGTTGAGGGTGGGCTGCTTCATGTTTTGTTTTCTGTAAGGAAAACCAGCAACAATCTTGTGGAACTGTGTCAGATTATACACACTTGTTAATCATGTTTGTGTGGGTCAGACCTCATAACTTCCTGAGCCTTTGTTTTTCACCTGATACCGTGTCTGAAATAGCGATTTCTCACTAAGGACCTAAAATGCCTCATAGCACGTAATTTTTTCCACTTTACTATCCAACAGAAATGAAAAAAAGGATAACTTTTTTTTACTAGTATTTTCCATTGATCTGACTAGTCATGTAATACAAAGATAATGATGGATGTTTTAGGTTTGTTTGCAAGTATAAAAAAGGTGGAGGAAAATGATTATTTGATGACAGTTGCTTCCTTTTTAAAATACTACCAGATAAGTATGTATAGAAAAAGTTAAAGGACTCATTTTCTGTCTGTGGGTTGCACACTGAATCAAAGAAGAGGCCCGAAGGTACATCTGTACAAAGTAATTGGCACTCAAAGAGAAAATGGTTAGCTTTCTAACAGTGCATTGGGGTCAAAATCTTTTTTTATAATAATAATATAGTAAGACACTTAATATAACCTTGAAATCAGGAACTTTTAGAAGAGGTTAGCTGAAATACACAGTGCTATAGCAACCATAAAGCAGGCACATTTCTTATTGTTCTTTTTAAAATTCAGCTTTTAATAAGTAGAATGGGTGATCATTTTTTGTTAAATTGCATATTTAACTAGATTTTTTTAATTAAAAAATTGGGAGTGTCAAGGTAGCTATAGGATACATGAACATATAACTGTGATTTTTTTTTCCTGAACAGCTCATTTCCTATAATTTTTAGAAACAATTCATCCATTTATTTCAATAAATATAGAGTAACCACACTTGTAAAAAGAAAACCAGAAATGTCTAAGAATTAATACTAATCACAGTTCTGTATTAAAATATTATATGACCTAAAGTTCTTTAATGTTTACATTCTTCTCAGTATTGTGGAGCTTCTTTTTTTCTTGGGTTGTTTTGGTTTTTGTTTTTTTTGGGTTTTGGGTTTTTTTGTTGGTGTTTTTTTGGTTGGCTTTTTTTTTTTTTGCAATTATACGATAAAAAATATGCTGTTATTTAATACTCTGTGTCATATAATTATTATGTGTTTGTGAAACTTACGCATGATATGGTGTTGAACAAGGGCAAGGAAGGCTCATATTTATAAGAAAATGGCTACACTAAAATAGATCCCTGACAGTGACTGAAGCTAAAGTAATGAATTCTTTAAAAATTTGTATTCTTGTCACAGTTTTCTCCTATGAGAATTTACAGAAATTTTAATAATCTCCTTTTGTACTGCTAGGCATTGACATGCAGCATTTTGTCATGTTTTCCATAAAAATGTAGAGAGACATCAGTGACAATGATGATTTATTAGAAGAATATCAATCACAGTAACCACTGTTTATTATATCTAGGGCTAGGATACATATTGTTTCAGGAATTCAGTTACAATACCTTCTCTTTCTTCTTTCAATAGAATATTTTGTAGCAAACCCAGTGTAAACTGCATGAGCTGTTGGAGCATGACCAGATATTAGTTTAAAACACTGAATACTGTTCTGGGTGCTGCAATAAAGCCAAGTGTTTTCTAGAAACAGCTGAAGCTCTTTAAAGGCAGTAGAAACACTGACTTGAAATAAATTAATCAATCAGGAGCAAACAGATTTCTGGAATAACTTTAAGGTGTTTTTGTTTGCAAATAAAATTCAAGAGTTGGGGGAGTATACAAAATTTAGATTTCTCATGCAAGTCTTTTAGTGTAGCTAAAACACAGATTATTTAAACTCGATGTGAATATATTTTTAATAGTGTTTAATAGTATTTTTTTTCATATTTTGTATAAATATTAAACATCTGAGCTTGCAGAAATATTCACTAGCAGCAGGGAAATACTTGTCTTCAGCTGCTAAATTGACGTTATAAATTCATGACTTGCAAAATCATTTCGCTTATCAAAGTTATTTGTATATTTGAGTTCAGGTGTTCCTCAATCTCTCTTAACCATTTGGCAGGGATGATGAGAGGGAAATATCACCACAATTAAGAAAAAAGCTTAGTTAGAACAGCTGTGTAGTAGCTGTGGTTTCCCAAGGTTTATGTTTTTCTCCCTGCTGCTCTTTGGAAGCTCACTATGCAATTTTTTTTTCATACTGGGAGAAGAGGCAATCAAGGCTCTGCTGTTTTAACATTTCTGCATCAAGAATCAATTACTTTTTTTTTATACTCCAGATTCACTCAAGAACTAATCTTGTAGTGGAAAGGAGTATGTATGTACTTTGTTTCATGTATGTGACATTATGCCATTCTGGTCTCATCAGACTTTGCCCAAGTAGGCCCTCAGTATACCCCCGACTATATAATTATTATTCATGGTCAAATCATCCTCATCTTACTCAGATGGCTTTTAGCAAACTAATTAGCTTTATCTCTCTTTACTAGTAGAAGTTCTTAAAAATGTATGCGTGTTACATAAGAAACAGGGTAAGTGGGCAGATTCTGGTTCTCTCACATTTAATGGTGAAAACTGACCACCCAGAAACTGTATTTTAATGTCCATGATAATGTTCCTCAGCTTTACCCAAATGTTCTCTTGTAGCTTACAATTAATTACTTTCAAAAAATTAATTATTTTATAGTGTTAGTGTATTTTGTATTAGGTTTTGAATCTGTAGCAGACTTTGGATGTATTGGTGTGGTTTTGTAAACTATGTATTTCATAATAGTGGTAACTCAGCACTGCAAAGTTTCCTGACATTTATTACTTTCACCAAGAGGTCTATTGTTGGATCTAGCTTCCAGTGCCATCAGCATTAGTCAGATATAAATCATTCCAGAATAAAAAGTTTACGTAATGCATATAAAAATATATGCTTCTGTTCTTTGTTTGATTTAAAAGCTGTGAGTGGGAAAATGTCAAAATGTTGAGGGGCTTTTTGCCTTTCTTTTTCAGGGTTGGTTTAGCCCAGGTCAAGTCTTCGTGTTAGATGAATACTGTGCTCGCTACGGCGTGAGAGGCTGTCACCGCCATCTTTGCTATCTCACTGAATTGATTGAACATTCAGAAAATGGTTCTGTCATTGATCCAACCTTGCTCCACTACAGTTTTGCATTTTGTGCTTCTCATGTTCATGGTAACAGGTAATTTAATGATATATTTTTAAATTCATAGCTTTAGGAGCAAGCAAAAGTATTTATAGGCTCTTGCATTCACCGGTTGGGGAAGTTGCACACAACAGAAATCAGTCCATGAAAGTTTTTTCAGGGGTATTGGAGGTTTTATAGAGATTACTATTAAAAAATAAAGAAAAAAATCTCCTTTCAGTTTGTACAGTCTTAATGCAGTACGTTTTCTTGGCCATTGTATAGACAGGCTGATTAAGGCTAAAGGATATCATCGTGTTAAAATTGGTCATCACCTGCTGACCGATGCCCATCCCATCCCTAAACACCTCCCCTCACTTCATCTACTGGGCATGATGTGCTGTGGTATGGAATAGCCCTTTGGTTAGTTTGCCTCAGCTGTCCTGTCTGTTCTCCCTCTCTGTTTCTTGTGCCCCTGGCAGAGCATGAGAGACTGAAAAATCTTTGATCAGGATAAGCACTGCTCAGCAACAACTAAGACAGTTGTACTTTATCTCGTCAGGTCTTTACCCAGTTTGAACCTGTCTTATTTCAGTGTAGTTATATCTGTTGTCTCTTGTCATCCCCCCAGTAGCATCTGGGGGCTGTCATTCAGACCCCTAGACACCACCTATTCTCCAGGATGAACGAGCCCAGCTCCCTCAGCCTCTTCTCAAAGCAAGTGCTCTGGCCTCTGACAGTCATGGTAGTCATTCACTGAACACTCTTCAGTTTGGGGCCGGCAATCTATGAAATTAAGGACAATATGCATTTATACGTTGCTGTACACACTTAACTTGTAGAAGAAATATGTTTTAAAAAATAAAAAATAACAAGAGAAAATGCAATAGATCTCCTCATCTCAACTCACCCAATCCTGCCACTAGGGGAAAATCTACTCATAGTCCCAAAAAGTGATTACTGTGATGCTGTCAGTAAATTCCCAAAACTGAATCCTGGCAGGAATCGGGAGAGAGAGGTTTTCTTCCCAACATGTATGCCTGTGTTGCTTTGCAACCAGTCACAGAGTCCGTGACTGAAACCAGTCAAGAAGGGACAATCCTTAAAAAGGATATAGTTTCCTTCATTGGCTCAGACAAAGCCTCATCTATGAGAACAGCAGCTGGGCATTTGTGATCTGAGTGATTTGCAGGAGATTAACATTGTGTTATTTTTGATAATAATATCAAAAATTAAAATGTTTTTGAATGTGCCTGAAATACTGTCCAGAATCTTAACATTCATACTGGTAAGTTAGGAGATTTTCTGGCATTTACATGGTAACCTGTTCTTCACAAAAGCATGCTTCTTTTGTCAGTTTCTGAAGAACCTGACGCATTCATATTTTCTATTGAGTCTAAGCCTTTGTTGTTTCTAGCCTTTTTATTAGTGGTTTCAATATAAGACAAATATACAGTGATAATTGCTCAAACTTATTTCAAGAATTCAAAAGAAAGGTAGATACATTTCTTTTTATTTCATAATTTAAGTGAAGGACAACAGTGCATGCAGTGCATGAAAATATCTCAGGGAGCACATCATTTACACAGTCGTAAGCACTCTGTATTCTGTCTATTCCTTCTGTACAGATATTCTCTGAATAGCATTATGAGTGTTTTAGGAATAAAAGAAGTGTTGAACAGAGAGGGTCTGACTAGAACTGATATATTGTAAAAAGGAAGAAAAAAGAAACATGAAGAAAGAAGAAAAGTAAGTCAAGGACAGAAGCAGACACACTCACTGAGGATGACAGACACACATACGCACATAATATATCCACTCATTCATCTGCTGCAGCACTAAGAAATAGTAAAAAGGAAAAAGGAATTTCACAGACAATGCAAGACAGGCCAAAGTTCTAGGCTGATCCCTGGCGTTATACATCTTAATTTTATAAGTCATGCTGAGAATTAGAAAGACCACAGAACAAAGAGCTTTGTGCTCTGGGCATGAAGTATTTAATTTATATTTCACCTTTGCTTCATAGAGGTATCTTAGACCTTACACTAGCCTGAGAAAGATCATCAAAAATGATCTTGAAGTCAGGTGATGGAGAAGCATGTAGGAATGCAACTGTATCCATAGTTCAAATTTTCAATTCCTTTTAGGCATGAATTTTAGGGTAGCAGGCAATCTGGTGACATCCATCAAATGATCAGATAAAGGTATCAGTCACGTTCATTTCTGCAAGTCTGGTGAGGAGAAACTCAGGCGCAAATCAGAGCAAATCTACAAAATATACCAGGGCCATACCAGGACATATGCTGAGCACACCAATGAGTACATCTGATTTGCTAAACAGAACTGATGAGGAAGCAGTCTCATAAATGGACCCCAAATGTCCCTTAGTTATAGACACTTTTTTAAGATCCTAGGCATGGTTGTGGGACTGTGTGTACTGCATACCACTGCCATTAAACACTATGAAGACAATCAGCTTTGGCTCTTTCCACCCTCCGTATGTCTGCAGAACTCTTCCAGTAGATTTTGAACCTTCAGGTATGCCCTGTGCTCTTTGCTGCACTCTAGGACTGCAAATAGGAACTCTTTATGCTGCAGGCTATAATGCTTTTGCAGGTTGTAACACAATAGCCATGGGTTTATTTCAAAACAACTGGAATAAACACACAGAAGTAAATTGTTGTCCTAAAGCTTCAGGGACATTATGGAGCACAGAGGAGACCTGAACTGAGCAGCAGACCTTGCCACCTGGTCTCAGGACCAGAGAACAGTCCCCTTTCCTGAGATGAAGGTATAGGTAACAAGTTCTGACAAAGTTATCAAGCATACTGGTGCTTAGTGTGTGTCTTACGTGAATGTTGTTGGTTTGGGAACACAAATGGTTATGCAGGGTTGAACACCATGTGCTGAGTCCTAGACCAAGGAATTCTAGCTTCATTCATGCCTTTCCTTTCCTGCTGGGAAGAGCATTACAACTGGGCTTACAAACTGCTTATGTTGAAAAGGTATGTCTGCTTTTGTGGATGACATTGTCAAGACATTCTCTTCCTAAACAGCCAAAAAAGCAAAATGTATTAGTAAAAGAATAGCCTTGCTGTGTAAACAAAAACACATCCTTATTTTTGAATTATCTGATTACTTTTTCTCCAGGAAATAAAATCACCTTTCGTTGGCTGTGCTTCTGGTGCTATGTAACTTTACAATACCATCTGTTTTGGCTCCTCTTCACAATGTTTTTCTTTTGAAATGTTCCACAATATGGTCCCCATCAAATCATTAGTTCACAAGTGAAGTTCTTGCACTGCAATTATGCCTACACTTGTGTATCTCTGGTGAAAGTGAAATGGGCAGAATAAGGAACTGTAGGATATTCCTGAATGCTGACATTTCAGTCTAAACAGTCCAGGTAGGAGCTATTGTTTTCTTCCCCATCACGTTCACTTTTGTCTACTTTTCATGCTGTGACTTCTATTCAGTCCCCCTTGTCTGAAATGGATGCTGGTGGGTATCACATGAAGTGCAAAGTGACTTCTTTCCACCTGCTGAGTACAGCCTGAATTGAAAAGAAAATCAAAATTCAAGTATATTCCCTGGTTATACCTTTTTCTATTCAGAAAGAAAGCTGATTTATTGGAAGTTCATATATGAGAAATGAAGGTGCAAGTAATGCTACAGAAATCAGTTTATAACCAAAGATAAATAGTTTCTTTCTGCCTTAATTTTGAAATCCTCAGCACATGTGTGTTTGCACAGAACAGTCATATTGAGTCAGGATTCTTTTAAGCCACTAAATCATCTGCCTCCAGCAGTGACCTGCTTGGAGTAAGAGAAGGGCAAGCATATGCAATATTTCCTCTTAGTGCTCTTTCAGTCTCCAACTCTGCAGCTCAGAATATGCCTGTTCATTAACCTGGAATGAGCGTCTGTTTCAGATACTTGTCCATTGCACCCCTGAACCTGCGTAAGCCCTTTGCACCCTCAACACCTTTGGCAGCAAGTTCTTGCTTGAAGAACTCTTGCTTTGAACTTGACTCCTGTACACCTCATTTCATTCTCTGTTGCTATTGGAAGAGATGGAGAGACATGGAAAAAAAAAAGATCCTTCTCTGTTGTCTCTTCACTATTTAAGATTCAAGATTCAAGAAGTATGAGTGAACCATGTGTTGATTACACTGGATGGATGCTTCCTGCTAATTCCTTACCCTTTTCTGGTAATCCCTAATGTTGATTTGCTTCTTTGAATGCTACTGAACAGGGACATTTGCATTAGATTATCCGTCATAGCACCATGATCTCTGTCCTGAATAGCAACTGATTTTTCCTTACATTTATTAATCTACATTGATCACTTTTTGCTGTTTTGTTGCTACTTGACTTCATAAGATCCTTCTGTAATTCCACACTATGCCATATAGATGTCATTACAATTATATTTACTATCACCTCAGTTCTTAGCCGTCTGCTAGAACATTTGCAAATACAGTAAAATAGCACAGGTCTCAGCACAGATCCCTGCAGAACTCTACTGATAACTTCACTGCAGGTACTCACCATTTATTCTTACTCTTTCTTGTCCATTGTGAATGTGAGACTTTCGCTTTTACTCAGTGGCTGCTTAATTGCCTTAATAGCTTTTGATTAGACATTCTGAGAAAAGATTTTTGAAAATCTCTGTACATCATATCAGCCAGGTCATACTCATCCACCTGGTTTTGATCCTTTTAGAGAACTTCAAGATCAGAAAGTAAGATTTCTGTGCCTTACAGCCTTACGCCTTACGGCTGTCATCACAAAAATATTTACCCAATTTTCTTTAATTTTATTTATAAATATCATAGAATCATAGAATATCCTTATATTATAGTTCCTTCTAATTTTCTGGGGTGTGTGTAAAGCTTACTGGCCTGTACTTCCCCCTACCTCCCCTGCAGTCCTGATTTTTAACTTGATCTCTTATTTTTCACCTCCCATTCCTCAAGAGGAAGGCAGTTCTTGGTGAGAACTTTCATGCAACCATAAGTAATTCAGTTCTGGCCCTGGCAACTTACTGCTGTTCA